GACTGGACTGGAGACTCAACAGTGAAGCAGTCTACAAGAAAGGACAGGCAGACTGTACTTCTTAAGGAAGATGAGATCCTTCAATGTCTGCAGCAAGATGCTGCAGATCTTCTACAAGTCTGTTGTTGAGGAAGCTGAGATCCTTCGATGTCTGCAGCAAGATGCTGCAGATCTTCTACAAGTCTGTTGTTGAGAGCGTCRTCTCTTCTGCCATCATCTGTTGATATCAACCTGATAAAGAAGGCTGGTTCTGTTCTGGGGACAACTGTGGAATCTCTGGAGATGATGGTGCAAGAAGAATTTTACATAAAATCAAGAACATTGTGGACAACCCTGACCATCCTCTTCATCAGACTGTCATAGAAAGACAAAGTGTCTTCAGTCCGAGGCTTCTTCAACTTTGCTGTAATACAGACCACTACAGAAGATCTTTCCTGCCCACAGCCATCAGCATCCACAATAAGTTTTTAGTTAAATGAGTTACAACAACACCTAATTTCCCTCTGGGATCAATAAAGTATTTTTGAATTGAATTGAATTGAATAAAAACATGAGTAAAATTAGCAGAAAATATAGGAAATAATGTTACAAGGCTCAAGTCACCAAACTGCAACATCAAACCAACCTTAATTTTCTTGAAAAGCCAGGAAATTAATATAATTTAAAAACCATGTGGACATTTGTTTTGTAAACAAAGCCCCTCAACCAATGACAGCGTGATAAAAACAATTGTCAGACTTTAACCGTTATTCTGTAGCAAAAAGGACTTATTTCAATGTTTCAGATCATGATCAAATTTGGAACAAAGGCAAATAATAAAATAATCTAAGAGCTGCTTTTGACCCGCGGGCCATCAGTTGCCCATCTCTGCGTTAAACCTCCTATTTTGGGGGAGTGTTAAAAATAAGCTTCTGCCAGGCCATGCATAGATGGATTTACACTGAAACAATAGTGATATATCAATAATCTGCGTTGTTACATTTTGTTTCTTTGTTGACAGATGAATAAAAACTCTTCTTTCTGCAACAAAAAGACAAACTTCTCAGACTTCTGCAGTTGTTCAGTAAAAACACCTGCGTGGTAAAGACTCAACAGTGTGGTGTGTTGAAGCAGATGCTGCTTTTATGAAGTGCAGAGTCATATTCATTGAAAAGCCTAATGTGTTTGAACAAAGTTACATTTTTACATTTCTTCTCCTGTCATGACATCTGGGGTTAATAATATTTCATTAAAAAAGCTACAGCCCTAAATATATTTAACCATGCCGGTGATGATGATGATAATGTTGAAAAGTAGCAGTGCTTGAAGAAATGCATATAACCCACCGTCTTTTCTCACAAATATCTTGTGATCTGTTGGACTTCTAATCACTTAAACCTGTTTCCGTGCAGAAAACTTCAGCGCACACCATCCTGTRTGAAAGCAGATTGGATCATTTCATGTAAAACTAGGATTAGTAAACTAGTTTTTCCCAACACCTAACATCTGTTTATAATGAGACCAGAACTGATGAGCAATCATCTACATTTCCTCACATTTTACATGTTCATAGTAAGTAGGAATCTATTTTAGTTTGTGTTTGAAGAGGGAGCACCTTCTGTATCTTATTAACTGTACAGCTTAATATTTAAGGTCTTATTTTCTAGGTGACTGTCTCATACAAGGAGACATTTTTAATAACTGCAGTACTTGTTTTTTTGTACAATATTATGAAACTCTTAATGCAATGCTATGTTCAGATATCAACCTACACTGCTATTCATGATTTTGAATAAAATAAAGCAAATATGCACATTAAGCTGTGTCATATTGTTTGCTTACAAAACACATGTTTAACCATTTTCACCTAATGAGTGAGTCTAAATGTGAACAATTTTGCAAATTAGCCCATTTGTGCAATGAAAGTACTTACTGAAATCATTTGAAACTGATCTTTTGGGTTGTTTTAATTTTATTTGAATGTTTTTGGAGCCCTGGCCCCGTTTCAGAAAGCAGGATAAATGAAAATCCTGAGTTAGTTCTGGGGTAATTATATGCAGAAAGCCAGATAGCCGTTATCCTGAGTAAACTTACCTCCACTCATTTGAAAAAGTTTGGGCAGCCTCGTTAATTTTCCTGATTTACCTTTATAAATTATTGATTGTTTTAATAAAAAAACCAGTTAAATATGTCATTTAAGGGACAAACACAGTGATATTTGAGAAGTGAAATAAAGTTGATATGATTTACAGAAAGTGTGCAATAATTA